CTAGAACCCAACTGCCTCTGTCTATCGAGGCCCGATCCAATCATCAAGCCCAGAGCTGCTCGTGCCCTCGCCTTTTTCACATCGCCCGCCATAAGGGCATCTATCTAGCATTCCAGCAATGTTCTAAGCAGCGTGGGCTCCCGTCTTGAAGGACGTGATTCTGGATCGATGTTCTACCCAAGCTCTTGCACTGATTAAAGGACGATCCATGCCGGGGCCCACTGTCGCTGAAGTCAGATCCTCCGCCATGAGTCTCTCGATCAATCCAAAAATCTCCTCCGGGTGATCTTGAAAAGCTCCCCGTAGCGCCCTTCTCGCAGCAGCTGCCTTTTTCCCCGTACCTTGGAGGGGATTGTCGGTTGAGCTTGATGCCACGCCATGCAGGGCTGTCTCCAATTTTGAAATCGTTGCCTTCTTCTTCTTGTCGGTGAGGATCTCGACAATGCTGGTGAGCTTCTGTAAAGTGGCCGTCATAGGATCTGCAGGCTCCAATCCATACCCTTCTGCAGTGCTGTAGTGCTCGTCCTCGATGACGTGCTCGTCCTCTGAGAGCGGAATGGGACTCACCTTCTTGTTCATATCTTTGACTTTCGAAGCTTTCGTCCCTTGTCCCACAAGCTTCTGCATCTGCTCCAGTGTGCTGTGAGGAATTTCAGCTTGCAGTGCTGAGGCTACCACGCCGCGGTCCAACAAGGGATAAGCAGCAGCCACATCTCCAGCAGCAGTCGAGGGCAAACCAGCAACCTTGGGCACGGCTTTCGACTTGCCTGTTGCTTTCGCCGCCGCTTTCTTCTTGGGAGCTCCCTTTGATGAGGCGGCAATCTTCTTGACCTCCTTTGCCAAGTCGGTGATCGCAGTCTCCATCTTCGACATCCTTGCCTCTACCGGACTGACATCGCCATCCAGCAAACCAACATCTTGTGAGTCGAAGGGCTCGCCGTTGATGTCCTCCTCGTCGATGGCTCCAGGCAGGTCCCATCCATCCGCAGAGAAAAAGGCGAAATGTTCTTGAGCCACTTCGCAAAGGGCTCTTGCCAGCGGCAGCATCAGCTCCTCGGTCTGATCGACGAAGCAATACTCTGCATTGTACTCCTCCAAAATCTCGAGGTGCTTGTAGTATTGAGCACGTAGGTACCCAATCCATACCTCGACAACAGCTCCTTCAACTTCTTGCGAGAGATTGCCAGGTCGTGCACCAGCCACTTCAACCAAAGTGTGTTTTGTCAAGCAGTTTGAAGGAAGAATGCGCCTTGCAGGGGTTCGATGCCAAACTGAATGAGGAACACAGACCAAAAGTTGGCCTTCAAATTCACCAATCTGAATTGCTTGCAAAGTTGGAGTGAGGGTGGCCTGATCAACAACGAAAAGGCCAACCGAATACACAGTATTGATCTTGCCTTCGGTGTAGACGTAAGGCAAGAGGTCAGCAGGCCAAGGTGCCTGCTCCAACAGGCTCATGGTTCGATTGCGCTGGGCCAGTCCAGCTGCGCTGCCTCCACAACTCGCCTGGCTTCCCTCTCCAAAGGCAGCCCTACGAAAACGCTGTCTCCGCACTCGCTGTTGGAGGGTTTGCAAAGAACCTTGCACCGTGGTCCAGCTTCTGACCACCTTGACTGGGGTGTAAATCTGGCCGGAATAGTCCCTCACCACAATCCACAACTTTGAGGCCAGCGGAATCTTGTCTCTGCCACTGGTTCCTCTCTGATCTCCAGAAATGCTCCTTGCCAAGAAGCACCCAATCTGATCACAGATGGCCTCCCTTTCCAGCCAAGTCAAATTCCCTGGCGCAGAGGATGGATAGGCCGCCGATGGACCGCGAGTCTCGGGCACTGATTGCAGACCTTCACCACGTCGGTCAGGTGAAGGAGAAGACACTGAGTATGAAGCACTCGGCGATCTGGGATGAGCCGCTCGAGAATCAGAGTGGCTCCTGGAGTCACTTTGAGACTCCTCACCAGGAGTGAAGGCAGCTCTCAGCTCGCGAATCACTCTCCAAGCTTTTCTAACTTCCGCCTTGAGATCAGCAACCTGGTCCTCAAGCTCTTGCACGCGTTCCTCCAAAGTAATGGAGGCGGTGCGCATCAACAGATCTTGCAAAGCGGCTTTCCCAACGCTCTCGGGCGTACCAATCTGGGCTCTGATCCCCAGCTGTCAGTCCACCTCACCAGAAAGAGCCGAATGGTGACCCAGAGCTCAATGCCCAGCACCAGTATCACCCCAAAAACCAATCCACAAAGAAAGCTCGCAGGGTCAAGGTGCCAGCCAGCAGCTCCAGTAAGATGCGCGGCTGCACGTTGATCAGTGCAGGCAAGCACTCGCGAGGCAATGGCGTAAGAAGACACGGAGTGCAAGCTATCGGTGAGCGCTAGCATGAGCCAGTTTTTCTGCACCGGCAAGGCGTGAGCATCCACAGCAGTTTTTGTTCGTTGTTTATGCATGTTTGCTTGGTCTCGACCGTACACCGACCTCACAAAATACTGTTTGTCAAAAAAATGAATAAAATGTATATGTCCATTGTTATGTCATATCAAAATTAAACCAGACATAAATAGTCACCATTTTCTAATATAATCACATATGCAAAAAGAAAAACATATTTTTAACTTTAGGATGCCTGAATACAAATTTCTGAGTATGAGTGGACACCTGTGCGGGGGTAATGGTGTCACCTAATTCGTTTTCTCTCAAAACATACAACAAGCAATGGAAAGCACCGAGCTTGCGTCAAAACTGGAAAACCCCTTGACTTTTCAAAGGCAGCGCAGCTGATTAATTCGGACAACAAAGTCAATGCAAAAATGTATCATCCTGTCAGGCCTGACTTTTAGGCTTGACTTTTGGAAGTTTGAGCAAAGATTCAACATTATATAATGGATCCTTATTCTAGGGCTTGAACACTTGCCGAAATAAGGAAAAACACATAGAGCTGGGCATGACAACAATCTGACTATGATTTTGTTTCCAAATTGTTTGGCATTTGGTAAATCAAAAGTTGTATAGTTCTTGCCCTTTAGATCACATTTAACCTCAACACATCTACCAAAATGTGTGTGTGTGTAAATCTATGACTTTGGCGTCAGGACCTTAAGTCATGCAATCATTTTTACCCCCCTATAATAATATCCCTGATGCAAGAAGAAAAGTGCTACAAAATGACCCTGCAGGACTGTTCTTTTACTTAACGCATCTCTCCTATAAAAATGTTTGCATTCCATGGGTTCATCACCAAGTTTGTCAAAACATCCAGGCGCATGTCAAAATTATGTTATTTACCCCAACGTCCATTTTATAGGGACAGGGCCTGGCCATTAACCAGGTGGGATCAGACAGGTGCAAGTTAACTTTTGTCTACAATCTGCGGCGGGGGATCAGACCAAAGTTATCACCATGTATTTTGTTAGAGGTCTGGACCATGTCGTCCCCGTCTCATTTTGCAGTTTTTTTGTCTCATTTTGTAGTGCTTCGGACGTATTTTGTGGTGTTTCGGAATCATTTTGTACAGCAGCGAGGTAATGGGCCCCAAAACACCTCAAAACCAGTTATCATGTTGGTTTTGAAGGGACCCTTTTTGTAGAGCATCAAAAAGAGCAGTACCCTAAATTGCGCGGAACCTACCCGTACCAAAGCATCCCCCGTAGAATTCACCATTATTATTTGTTGGGGCCACCCAAAAAGACCTCTGAAACTACTGCTGTCTTTCTCCCAGGTGGCTCTGACTTCTCCCTTACCATGCTTGATTCTGGAATTAGTGAATAGTGGAGTTGTGGGCATCAAGCATCCCGAATTGAGTTGTCATGATGCTTTCAGGGACTGAGGGAACCAAATGGGGCACCAAAAACCCAAATAGTCTTGAACAGTCTTGAATGACATGTTCAAAACCATTAGGAAAAGAGAAAACAGCAAGGCCAACCTATCTTGTAGGTTCTTGGAAGGACATGTGCCAATTTTTGTAGGGGTCTGATGGGGGAAAGAAAAAATAACAACACTATTTCATTCATAGCTACCTTGAGCAGTCTTAAGCTATATCTTTGAAGCGTTTGAAGACAGGAAAGCACCAAAACGCCAACCCATCTTGGAAGCGTTTCGAAAGGGACTTGTCATTTTCTAGGGGTACTATCGAAGGCGGAAAAACATAAATAATCAATATACTGTATACTATTTTCGGTTTGAGCAGTCTTGAATTCTATGTTTGAATTCTATGTTTGAATCGTTTCAAGAAAATGAACAACCCCAGCACGAGCAGGAACAAGTAAAGACCGCAGTATTTTCAATTGTCTTGGGCAACGTTGATAACTTGAGCTCTGTATATATATGAGCTCTATGTTTTAAGCAAACTGCAAACACAAATAAGTATCAATGACAACGCAACTCCTCAGGTGCTTGGGAGTACCCTGACTTTTTGCAGGGGCATGATGGGTCACAATATAAGCAGAATAACAAATACATTGTAAGCATGTTCCACAAAAGCAAACGCACACACAAAAAAAAATCAGGCACTCTATAGCCGTCCATTGGGAAAAACATATATCGCAACATCACCCCAAACCTCGGCTTTCCTTATCCAGAAAAACTGGTTGCTTCTCTGAGAATGCTTGTCTAACAAAAGAGACCGAAAGGCACATAAATGAAACTCGTGCCCGCAGGAAACATCGCGGAATGATACCGACAACATTTAAGAAGACAAAAAAAAGTAAGCGAAACCAGAGAGGTATGTTTTAAATGAACATGAGACAGTTTATTGGCAATATGAATGAAATTAGCAGCTGCTCCGACAGCATATTGAGACAAAACAGCGGAACAAAAATATGGAAAACTGCGCAGCTTTTCTGAAAGCCAAAATGCGGCCTGTAGCTCACGAAGTGAAACACTCTAATTTCCTCAAGGTAAATGCCACATGCTCATGATTGCTACTGAATGCAAATGTTTGGCACTCCTCCTTTACATTGTGAGCATTGATCAGAATGTAACCTAAATTCAAAAGACATGTTGGATGTCCAAGTTTAAGGATCCAACTCGTGCATACACTCTATGGGTGCACACCATTCGGCCAACCTATTGTAGCCGTCGCCAATGGCTTTTGCCTGGCGTTTTCCATATTCATAGATCTTCATGTAGGCACTCAGCTGTGCTCGATCATGAGAGCTTGTCCAATCTATAGCGGGCCACTCTAAGTACTCCTCCGTCATGAATTGGCTCGCGATTGTGTCGTTTGTGCCACTATGGAAAGACTGCGATCTTTCCAACTCGCTCTCAGATTCTTCTCCTTCTGCATGTTCTCCATCGATCTCTTCTGTTTCTCCTCCAGCTTGCTCTGGTTCACCTTCAAAGTGCTTCTGGAAGAGTGTCACGTCTCTCTTCCCTGACGTTCTCAGGCCATTCTTCCTCTCCAAGTTCTTCAGGTCGTTGTGGTGGCTCCACAGTCTCGTCATCATCTCGAGACCTTGAGCCATGTCGTGGAGTGTTTTGTCTCCTCCTCCTGTGCACATACTTGCGCAACTCCTCAAGATCACGACGACACTTTCTGAAGTCATCAGTCTTGTTGTTGCGCTCCACATAGTGCCAGTTGTCCCAATCCTGCTCTGTGATGGGATCATTGATGTTCACATAGCCACCCATGCGAATGATTGCCACATTCATCGCAGTGATGTGCATATGATGCATCTGTATCTCATTTTCCTGAAGACCTTGTTGTTCTCGAAGCTCTGCTCGAAGGTGTGCAAGCTGTCCACGTAGATCTCGAATGATCTTGCGCAAGTAGTAGAAAACTGCAATTAACACAAAGAAGATGCGCATGACAGTGATGTAGATGAATGTCCAACTTCGCTCCTTGTAGACCTCCACAGTCTCGAGATCCATGCGAAATGGGACCATCTCACCGCTAGCCTGCTCAAGGCCACCAATCAAAACCACTCGTTGAATCAATTTTGCAATCCTCATCACGCTCGTCTTATTGTAGTGGGTCTCTTTGGCTTTTGCAGCTTCTTCTTCTCCAACTGGAACTCCTTCTTTTGTAAAGACATTGCACCAGCGCATGAGAGCATAGAGACGTCCTTTGCCTAATGGTTTCGTGCCAATGTCTCCGATGTTCAGCAAAGTGCTGATCTGCTTCACCTCCAAGACCTTCATGCTGACTTGGTCCTAGATCCAAAGTAGTTTTCCTGAAACATGTCTCAGCTTCCCTGTGCCACGTTTGTTGGAGATCTGCTTGGTCGCTGAATTGTCGATGAGGCACACATGTTGAATCTCCTCCTCATCCAACAGAAACTGCAAGTAGATCCTCAGCGCAATGCCATCAGCTGCTCCTCCAACAAGTCCATGGAGCTCAGCTTCGGCACTTGAAAGGCTCACCACACGCTGTCCTCGGCTGATGTGGTAGACCACGATGCCATTCAAGCAATGAACTGCACTGCTCGTGCTTCTCCTTGTTTTTCGATCTCCCGACCAATCTGAGTCGGTGAAGGTCTCCAAGATCCATTTCGAATCATAGTGGTGATGAACTCCTTGTCCATGACTGGGAGCTTTCACACGGTTGTAGTGACCACGGGTGTTCTTGAGGTACCCGATTAGCTTTCTCATCACCTGCAAATGACCTCTCGATGGATTGCCCATACCACTTGCCAGCTGCTTGATGATGAACGGAAACCTCAATGCGCTCTTGGGACAGGTAAATGCCAGATCCAACCAGTGATCGATACAACTTGGCCTCTTCCTTCCATTAACCATGGTCCAGACGTTGAGATTTCCTGTGCGTCATCTCCGCAAGGAACTTGTTGAAGTTTCACCGGACCATAGCGTTTCTCAAAGGCCTCGATCATGGTCTCAGCATATCCTCCTGGTAGGATGTCAATCCCATCCTCTCTCAGCACGTACTTTCTCTTCAGGAACTCGAACTGATCTCCTTCATGTTGTGCAATCTTGTAGGAGATGTTGAGCTCGGATTTCAACTCCTGGATAAGCTTCTCCACTTCCGACTTCATTCCACAAAACATCATGTCATCCACATGTAGAAGTAGAAAAAGTCCACCTCCTCGTCGTCCAAGACATGGGTTCTCAGGGCAGAAAGTCATGCCCTTCTTTTCCAAGTAGTTGGCAATGAACTCATACCACGATCTCGCTGCCTTTCTTTGACCAGGGAGGTTCTTCTTCACCTTGAATTTTCCAACCTTTGTAGTGACCTGTAGAGGTTCTTCTTGATCAGCCATCAAGAAAGCGTCCTTGATGTCCAAGGAACCAATCTGGATCTCCTCCTGGTCAATGCCGTCCACCGCAGTGAGCATCAGGTAGATGGCTGGTAACAGCCTCAACACTTGACTGCCAGATGCTGGAGAGTGCACATCATCTCGTCGGTGGTTTGCATATTCACGTGCAACCAGTCTTGCCCTGCGCATCCACCTTCTCCGAATTGAACCTGTTTTGGGATCTTTACAATCCTTGATGCGCCAGTCATAGACCATTCGAGTTGTAAGAAGTTCCAACTCGTAGTCCTTCAGGGCAAGCTTCTCGATGACACCCATCTCCTGCAATCTGTTGACTTCGATCTCATCAGCCAGGCGATCTACCTCAGGTAGTGGCTCAGGCGGTGATCTCGTCAATGGATCGTCAGACCACAAAGCCTCGATGTCATTTACATCCTTGGCCTTCTCTTCAATCATCTCCACATCTTCAGACTCCCAAGCGTTCACAAAGTCGTACTTGTCGCTCAGGTGAACTCCGACCCAGCGTGTTCCATCTCGATGCCATCCAAAGGCATTGTCCACGTAGGCTTGCAATCCTGGAGCGAGGTCTGCCTTCAAAGCTCGAATCGCTTGAGGCTGCTCTCCAATCGTTCGAACATGTCCTCGAACGATCAAGCTGTTGTTCTGGAAGTCCAAGGGAATCTCGTAGGCTCCATTGCGAAGACTTCTGGTTTGAGCACAAATGCTCCATCCTGCATTCATCAGCCTTTCAAAGCTCAAAATGGGCTGGCTGATCTCATCCGAAAAGACCACATTGTCTCTCACTTCTATCTCCACTCCATTCTTGTCCTCCAAGACTACTGCCACCGATCGCTGTCCAAGTAGTGGAATTTCCCTGCCTTGAGCATCTTGCAATGCCACTTGCTGACCATCACATTGCCTTCCGCAGTGGATCATGCTCGATGAAAAGATCGGTGCATCAGCCCCAGAGTCAATGATGATGTCAACCTCATTGGTGTCGAGCTCATAACGCTCGTTGGTGTCGAGCTCATAACGCTCGTTGGTCTCACCACCAAATGTAGTGCTCCTGATTGACATCGGCTTGTACTCCTCATTGTCAATGTAGAAGAATTTCACCATCCTGCAATGACACCAGCTTGAAGTCGAACTTGATCTCATGTCGAAAACCACTGGCTCATGTTCTCCAGCTGAAAATGCCACTCGCTTGACTGCTGTGGCTGCCTGTGAAACTGATGGGCCAACACTCTCCTGCCCAGTCACTGAAGACAAGACAGTGCTTGAAGCCTCAGGATTTCCAACTTGTCGCACTCGCCAACAGTCTTTGGCCATGTGCCCAACTCTACCGCAATTAAAGCAGGTCACACCATCTTTTGACTTGCTCTTGCCTTTGCCCTTGTCGTTCTGATCTCCACCTTTTCCACTTTTCGAAGTTGTGCTCCACGAAGTTGTTGACGTAGAGCTACATGGGTTTTGCTTACCATAGGTTTTGCCCTTGCCCTTCAGCAGCTTTGCCGCCCTTAACTCTGTCAATCTCCATAGGCGCCAAACCAGTGAGCAGTTTGAGGTGAGTACGGAGAGCTGCTCACGCTATCTGTCCACTTTGTAGTGGCTGTGTCATAGGCCTTGATGACATCTCGAATTTGTGCATAGGTGCTGGACTCGTTGAGACTGAGATTCGAGTGGATTTTCAGGGGTCCGCTCACACATTTGAGCACCACAGCTGACTTCATCTCATCAATCAGCTTTCCACCCATTTTCTCAAACTGGACGAAGTGCTCCTCAAGTCTCACCAACTGCGACATGATGGAGTTCTTCATCACGAAGTTGGGGTAGGACATGATGCTCTGCAACATCGACATCGTGCGGTTTCTTGCACGAGGTTGGCAATTCTCCAACAAGTGCCTCAGAGCTTCAAGTCCATTAGATGTATCCACATTTCTCACAAGACTGAGAAGACGTCCTTGCAAGAGTGAGCTCAGCAGGCTGTAAAGGAATCGACCTCTATGTCTTTCCTCATCCTCCAGCAAGTCTATGTCGACCTCAGTCACATTGCTTCTTTCCACATAGGCGATGTCATCCTCGAACTTGTTGTCGATGACAGTCAGGTACTGCTTCAGACTCCAGTACCAATCTCTCCATTGCGCCACTTCTTGTTCTCGGTCTCCTGGAGCAAACACCGCAGGTTTTGGAATGAGCTTGTAGAGTTCCTTCTTTCTATCTGGTGCACTTCCCTGTGAAGCACCAGTGGCAGCCTTTGCCGCCTCAGCTGCAGCCGTCGCAGCTGTTGCCACCATTCGCATGAGGTGTGCCATTTCAGCTTGAACTCCTTGAAGCTGTTGTTGGGGAAGCCCAGCAGGAGCATCAGGCATAGGTACACCTTGGCTTTGTCCATGTGGTGATCCATACGGGGATCCTTGGGGAGATCCTGCAGCCAGATTCGGATCTGAAGCACTCATGTTCACCTCGTTCAGGTCGAAGGTATAGTGATGGATGCAAAGCAAGAGTTCCTCTCGGTCTCCTGGATCGTTGTTGCAAAGATCTCAAGGGCCTCGTTAAAGTCCACCGTCGTATGGCTGGACAACCCTTGAGCTCTCAAAGCTCCGCTGCCATGCGCAGCTTTTCTGAAAGCCAAAATGCGGCCTGTAGTTCACGAAGTGAAACACTCTAATTTCCTCAAGGTAAATGCCACATGCTCATGATTGCTACTGAATGCAAATGTTTGGCAAAAACATAATTGTACGTTTTTTGGGGGGGGCTATCATACCTCCAAAATTTGAATGTTGTGAAGAATGTCTCAAGATCATTTGCCTCATTTTGGTAAACAGAAAGATCATGTACGAATGCTTTGGATGTGAAGCCAAAACAAAAAAAACATGAAAAACAAACGAAATCGCGCATGATGTTCTTGAAAACAGGACAGTCAAGACCCCTCAAGCACCCATGAGAGGAACCGGGAGGGGATCTCTAGAATATGGTAAAGCAAACAATTTCAAAAGAATTTGACACGGATGTTTTCTTCAGGTCCCTACCAACAGCCACGTTTATGGGAATCTTTTGGTGCGGAGCCGTGCAAAAGCAGAATGAAGTAAAGATAAGCCAAATCTTCTGGTTACATTTTGTATAGCATTTTAATGTATCATAAAGTGACAGTTGGGACTGACCTGTGCAAAAAAAATTAGAAGTAAAGACCTACACAGTGGAAAATATGAACATATCAGCTAATTTTGTGTGGTCATTCATGGCTGGATATGGGCCATCGAGCGAGCACATCATCAAACATTTCGATACTGATCAAAGGGTTTTGTCAAAGTTGCTTTGGCCTTTTGTTGTTTCATGAAATGGAGGTGCGAAAACCAAGTGAACACATCAAAGATGCGATGCTGGAAGTGACTATACCAAAAATCGTTCAGTAATCTAAACGTGTCAAAATCCTGCGCGGAAGAAATGTACAAACGAACTTCTTCGTTGAATTCTCCATGCAGGCGTCCATATCATGACAAACAATGTCTCGAGAAATTCATCAAAAAAGTGATCAACAGGTTCAATAACAAGTTACCAAATTCGTCCATGAGTTCGATAATTAAGTACTCACTTTAAAAACATGTGTTCATGAAAGGGTTCTTGGAATTACCGAGCTTGTCATTTCATCATGCAGTTCGGTAAATGTTGGCAATATTTTTTTCAATGTCAGTTCGTCAATGAGTTCGTCACTTCGTCAATGAGTTCGTCACTTCGTCAATCAGTTCGTCAATTCGTCAATCAGTTCGTCAATTCGTCAATGAGTTCGTCAATAATTGTACGAACTTTTAATGTAAATTGACGAACTCTGTACGAACTAGCATTGACGAATTGACGAACCCATTGAGGAATTGACGAGTTCATTGACGAACTCATTGACGAATGGACAAACTCATTGACGAGTTGACAAACTCATTGACGAATTGACAAACTCATTGACGAAGTGACGAACTCATTGATAAACTGTCGAATTCACTGACAAGCTGCCAAACTGGAAATTGGCATCCAGCATACAAGGACCACCAAAGTACATGAACACATGTGATTAACAATATGGTTATAATACGTTATAATAAGCAATTCCTGATCAAAATGATTACCCAAAATTGATCGATTTCCTAAGTGGGATTGTCTTCGAAAATGATCAAGACGCGCGTGAAAGTAAGCAATGACAAAATGTCAAATGCTGTGCGAAACTTTACTGAATATTAAGTCAAGTTTCCTCAAGGACAACCAGGTAGGTAAAAACAAGGCCACAAAGCAACAAAGCGGTCGAAAGATCTTTGCTATCTTCCTCGTTTCAATTACAAAAGGTGTCATACTGTGTCGGTATTTTAGTAAGATATCAACCAAAGCTAGAAAGCAACCCTCCAACCAGACGACTTCACTCAAAAACAAACCAGCGGCACAGAAAAAACATGCCCTTGTTGTATTTTGAACGCTTGGGATCAAGTATTCCACAGTATCAACATGAACACGATTCATCTGGGTAAAAAGAACGGGTGGATTTGCGTCGGCTATAGAGTTTGTTTCGGGCTAGTTTTTTTATAGGAAAGTATATGGGGTTGTGGCCGTCATGTGTTCATTGTGTATGGAATGTTTTTCTGGAAGCCAGGGGTCATTTTGTAGTTTCGTTTTAGTCGCTTAAGATTGTGGTTTGATAGTCCAAGCATTAAGCTTTGAACTTTTTTTTGTAGTGGCGCTTAAGATTGTGGTTTGATAGTCCAAGCATTAAGCTTCGGACGGTTTTTTTTGTAGTGGCACAAGTTAGCCAAAAAAAAACGGGCCCCATTTTCTGACGGTTCCATGTTTGGATGCAGGGTTGCTTAGCAGAACAAAATCCAGGTGCGCACCAATGGTGGTGGAAGTACCCTTGTAGAAAGGGACGAGAGAGAGTCCAGGTCCCACAGACTAATCTTATTCAAATGGGCCCCCAACTGGGCATTGAAAGAAACGGTTCGAAATGATTGAAAACCAGTTTTGGGCATGCGGGTATGCACAGGTCGTTTCAGTTTTAAGCAAACTGGCAGACCCAAATACTATTTAATGATATTTGGTTTGTTACCAGTAGTACCGCACAAGGCGGTGGCGGAAGTTTCAGAATAGGAAACCTATAGGAGAGGTTGGTTGTTGTGATTCACGGATGGCAGAGTGAATCCACTGATGGACCGTAAGGTGGTTGGAGTTGTGTTTTTTTTTGGACTGGTTGCAATGGTTGCAGCGGTCACCTCACCCACAACTGCTGGATGTAGTGTGGTGTAGTGCAGCTGTGGTTGTAGTTGTAATGCCGTGGAGTTGTAGTTGTGGTGTGGTGTAATTAGAGTAGTGTATTTGCAGTTGTATTGTAGTGGTGTAATGTATTGTAGTGTGGTGTAATGTAGTGTAGTCCAGTGCAGTGTAGTGTAAAGAAGCGTAGTTGTAGTTGTGTTTGTAGTTGTAGGTGTAGTGTAACTTAGTGCAGTTGAGTATAGTGTAACGTAGTGTAATGTAGTGTAATGTAGTGTGATGCAGTGTAGCGTAGTGTAATGTAGTGGAGTGTAGTGTAGTGGAGTGGAGTGTAGTGGAGTGGAGTGTAGTTGTAGTGTAGTTGTAGTTGTAGTTGTAGTTAGTTGCAGTGTCGCGTAGTGTAGTGGAATTAGGGTTGTTGTAGTGTAGTTGTGATGTAGTTGTAGTTGTAGTTGTAGTGATGGTTGTAGTGTAGTGTAATGCAATGTAGTGGAGTGTAATGTAGTGTAGTGTAGTTGTAGTGTAGCTGTAGTTGTAGTTGTAGTGTAGTGTAGTGGAGTTAGGGTTGTTGGAGTGTAGTTGTGATGTAGTTGTAGTTGTAGTTGTAGTGATGGTTGTGTGTAGTGTAATGTAGTGTAGTGGAGTGTAATGTAGTGTAATGTAGTGTAGTGTAGTGTAGTGTAAAGTAGTGTAGTCTAGTGTAGTGTAGTGCAGTGCAGTGTAGTGTAGTGGGATGTAGTGTAGTGTAATGTAGTGTAGTGTAGTGGAGTGCAGTGTAGTGTCGTGTAGTGTAGTGTAGTGTAGTGTAGTGTGGTGTAGTTGTAGCGTAGTTGTAATGGTTGTAATGTTTGCAATTGTTGTAATTGTTGTAATTGTGGTGAAGTTGTGGTTGTTGTTGTAGTTGCTGTAGTTGTTGTAGTTGTTGTGTAGCTGTAGTTGTTGTCGTTGTTGTAGTTGCTGTAGTTGTTGAAGCTGTAGTTAGTTGTACACTGTTTCGATATCTCAACGTCAAAAAGTGGTCCGGACCCCGCAGTTTTTTACACTTTTGACTTGGAAATGTGCTTCGCGCCACAACGGCGTGCACTTTTTGAACATCTCAACTTCCAAAAGTGGTCTGAACCTGGTGTGCTTTGTACATTTTGACTTGGAAATGTGCTTCGCGCCACAACGGCGTGCACTTTTTGAACATCTCAACTTCCAAAAGTGGTCTGAACCTGGTGTGCTTTGCACATTTTGACTTGGAAATGTGCTTCGCGCCACAACGGCGTGCACTTTTTGAACATCTCAACTTCCAAAAGTGGTCTGAACCTGGTGTGCTTTGCACATTTTGACTTGGAAATGTGCTTCGCGCCACAACGGCGTGCACTTTTTGAACATCTCAACTTCCAACAGTGGTCCGAGGCTGTGGTGTTTTGTACATTTTGACTTGGAAATGTGCTTCGCGCCACAACGGCGTGCAATTTTTCATCTCTCATCTGGCCAGATGGCTCCGCACCCGCCGCTTTAGCGAGGTTACTTTTCGACCCTCTGGAGCCACAAATCATTGGAAAAACACAGTGAATCACGACTTTCCTACCTTTTCGCGCACCTGCATCTTCTTTCTTCTCACTCTTTCTCTTCTCTGATCTTCTCACCTCTTTTCTTCTCCTCCCTGACTCTTCCCACCTCTGCTTTTCCATCTCTCCATATTGTCGGAAGTTTGACTTCTAAACTTCCTTCGACAAAGGCTTCTTACATTTTGGTTTGTATATGTATGTGTATCCTATTTTATTTTTTTACATAATTAGTAATTACTATTTCTTATACAGGATTTACAATACCGGCCACCTGGACCTAAGGACAGAGTTGGATGAGATGTTCAAAGCATGGTGCTTGCCTGACGTGGCGTATAAGTTGAATGTTTGCCACAGTGAGAAGTGCAAGCAGTGGTGGAAGAAATTCAACTTGAGGAAGACAAGATCAGACGCTTGAAAGTGTTTGAGCTGTGAAAGTGTTTGAGCTGTTGGTTACCAACAGAACAGAGAGAACTTAGCAGAGCCAGGGGATGGGAAAAACTGAGCAGCTTCAAGTTAGAATTGTCCACTTTACAGCAATTACACTTGAAACAATGGCCCTATCTCCAAGCAGTTGCAAGGCTGTCACTTGGAAAAACTATTTGGCGTGTGCAGGCTGTTGATGATCCAGCTAGCAGTTGCCTCCTCAGATGTCTTCCTTCATCCTTTCGAACCTTTACCAGTAGTACCGCACAAGGCGGTGGCGGAAGTTTCAAAAATAGGAAACCTATAGGAAAGGTTGGTTGCTGTGAATCACGGATGGCAGAGCGAAGCCACTGATGGATCGAAAGGTGATTGATGTCTCCTCTCTTTCTCTCTCTTTCTCTGGCTATCTACCTGGCACTTTGTTGTCAGGATTTGGGCCCTTGCGGCACTACACTCTGAAATGGATCAGCTTCAATTTCTTCAAGCCTTCGGCGTGGATATGGTCAAGGGTGGCCATATTGTGCTCCAACGCCGTGCTGTGATGCAGGAAATATTGCTTAAAGGGCCCAGGAAAAGGGAAGACATGAAGAAACAAATCATTTCATTATTGCTTGACCTCTGGCGCCTGCGCGCTCTTCCTCGTGATGCTCTTGACTCCATGGCACGAACAATCGAATTGGTTGTGAAATCAATGTTTCGCCAATGCACCCTTCCGAGTATTGATTGGAAGAAACTAGTTCAAGAAGCAATTCGCCAATTTGAAGCACCTGCTGGGGACAAAGAAAATGTGAATTACAGAAGCCGTTCCCGCCAAAGAAATTCTCAGTTGCGTAGTGGGCACAGGCATGTTTCGCGGTCTCCATTGCAAAGAAGAACTGATCCCAGTACAGCCAGATCAAAGTCTATGGCCAAACCTGGGTCACGTACTGCTTTGATGAATACAGAACAGAAAGCTCTTTGCCGTCAATCCGGCGAATTACTTGAAACACCAAGGAGCTCATGTGCACCTACTGTTCCGGATTCCGATGCAGAGATTGAAGTCCCACCAAGGCAACTATTTTCATCGCCGCACAATGGACATGGTTCCGTGCCGCCAGACCATCTACAGAGTGTGCCGTGCATTGGAACCAAAAATTTGGGCGCGCATGGAGGTGATTTTTTCCATCATGACATGTCGGTGGCAGCTGCATTAGCCCCTGATGCTCCAAAAGCCTTTTCCAAGTTTGCACAGCACCGTGTGAAATGGCCGCCGTATGACCCTCATGAAATCACAAGGGCGCAAGTGCGCCAATTTACAACTGAGACGGGTGAGGATTGCTTGGACTTCGTGTTTCATTGCTCTGAAGGCATTCGCTTGGACAAATTGTATCTTTTCTACAGGGAACTTGCCAAGGCTGGAATCTACGTTGACGTTTTGTATTGGGGCTCTTCCTTCCAAAAGTTGATCAATTCTCAGGGATACAAAAGCTCAGAAGCTGTGCCTGCTGTGACCACCCGTTTGGGTCCTTCGATCAACTATCACATCTCTACATCTGGACGCGTCAGACTGGATGGCAACTGGATCAGAAAGAAGTGCTGGCTGCGATGCTTCGGCGTGTTTTTCCACCCTTTGATGGCACGCAATTGAAAAATCATGCCAGTGCTTTGCAACGACATCAAGTCGATGGCTGTCAGCTTCAAGATTGGATGGCTCAGCGCCATGGCAAATGCTTGCGTATTGAAGATGTTTGTGTGTTTGACGGCTTCGGTGCACAAGGACTGTGGGACAAGTTGAACATGGCAGTTGGTGTTCGCGGGGTTCCTGCTAACACAGCGATTCCATGGATCATCCTGACAAGAACACAGGTTTGCATTGCTGTTCGGCCTACAGGCAAGATTCAGGTATCGCCAGGCAAGTCTTCAGTAGCTGCCATTGAAGCTGTTGAGGCCACTTTGGTCAATCATTTCGACGCAAAATGGGTTCCCGTTGATGCCTTCAAGCAGCTGCCAGACTCGGTCGTCACGTATGGAGTGCTTAGTGAGACAGCGAGGCAACAAACCAAACTTTTTGGTTAAGCGGGGCCCTGTGCCAACTGCAATGGATGTACAGGGCTGAACCGCATGATGGTTGTTTTCTCTTTGCATGTGACTATGCGGATATCGTTGCGACTACTGAAAGTGCAGTATTGAAACCCATGTTAGCCATTCTTCAATCAGCGTTGTTGGATACTTTGGCAGCTCTTCATCATCGCCGGCCCCATTCGTGGGATTTGGTGCTCTTGAAGTCCAGTGCACATGATGCCAGCACGATGGCTCAACAATTGCAAAGGGTGCAGCCTGACATCACTCTAGCCGTGCCTTGTGTGCGTGCCATGGCTTTATGCTTAGTGGCTTAGTGCCCATCCTGCATAAATGGCGTCAACAATTGCGAATTGCCATATCCACTTTGTCATCCCGCTTGCATCACCGAAAACCACACTTGCTCAAAGTATCAGCAGCGCTGTCAGGGCCACTGTGTCGGAACTTGCGCTCGAATGATCGCAATGGAGGTGTTGGTGTTGTGATCACAGGGTTCATGATGAACTTTGGACTATCTGGGGGCATGAATCCTAGGGGAGATAGGCTGGCGACGCAAAGTTGCTCTGTACATGTGTGAGTTGCATGCTGACTGGGGGCTTGGTGTGGGCTGCAGGCGCCCGCCTGATTTGGAGATTCACTCGGCCATTCCTGATTATCCATTTCTTGTGACAGGGCATGCTAGTCTTGATTATGGCACAGTAGTTGTGTTCTGCAAGCCTGTTATGCGAAACTGGTGCCAATGGCTTCCTCACATTTCTCATTCAGCGAGAACCGCCTGGGTACATCTTCACGAAAGAGGGTCTGGTCATGTTTGTATGTGCCTCCACGAACCTCCGGTAGAATGGAAGAACGGCGTCAAGTGGTGGACCAATATTTCCGGGAGTGGGATTCTGCAGTTGCTCAATTTGGTCCCAAAAATGGACGTGCACATTTGAAGGTATCTTTCTTCGGCTGTGGTGATTTGAACATGCATGATGACATCAGACAACTTTTTGAATCACACCTTAGCGCTAGAGGGTTGTCCTGGTTGTCCTCCACAGAACGGCCGACTCACAACAAAGGGCGAACGCTGGATTTTTTCTGGGGAGATGCGTCGAACAATGATGCATGTCCAGTCCTACAGGATGGTGAATCTTGCAGCAACGCTCCGTCTAAATGCAATCATCCTGCTTGTGGTCGACTGCATGAGTTCTTTGATACACATGATTTCGACCAGCATGCATGGACTTTCTTTTGCCACATCGGCCAGCCCACCAGCCATGACAATGTTTTTGTTGCTAATTTTTCAAAAGACCGTGATGCGTGGTCAGCAGCAATGAACTTGTACGGCAACGATTTCTTCCATATCTTGTGCATGGAAATTGATGCGTTGCTACATCCGTGCGGCTTCCTTCACACCTTGCGTCTCTCAGATTGCCGTGTTTTGGCTAATGCTTGTGCAATTCTTTGGGAGGTTTCTACAGCCATGATTGGGTATTGTGCTGGATTGGTCAACGTGAAGCCGCAGCTACGCACCCCAAAAGTCCCCTTTGCGGTGAAGGCAGCTTTCAATGCCATGGTGCAAGCTTCCAAATTTATTAGTCGATGTCCTTCTGACCCATGTGCACAACAGGCTCTTATTCCTGCTCGGAAAGAATACCGGTCTGCAGTCAAGGCCTGCAAAAAGCAAGTGGTGGCAAACAGAAACGCGCGGTACATGGCAAATTGTCGCAAGCAAAAGATCCACAGGCTGATGTGTACTTGGCCAAATGTCTTAGGAAAGGCAAAGCTGGCCTTGCAGATTTCATGTCTTTACCTGATGGCACTCGCTTTGCTCAAGACGATGTGGTTGATGGTGCAGCTGCTTACATCTGCAGCCTACAAGACGCTCCTCTGTGTGCTGATCTCTCATACAGACTACTTGTTGAAGATTCCTTCATGCAAACGCGGGCTGAGATGCGATCTGCGGTTGACAAAAATCCTGATGAGATCGGGCTGGACAAGGACACCCTTCGGCTGGTTCTGAAAAGAATCAAACCTACAGCTGAGTGTCGTGGCATTCCCTACGCAGCACTGTTGGCTGAGCCGGAGGAGCACTTCCAATTTGTGCTACTAATGCACAAGCTCGCTCTGACTTTCGGGGTCACTGCATCAGTTTGGACTATGCAAGACTTGTATCACAGCTTGAAACCAAATCGTGCTCCTCAATGCTACATGAGCTATCGGGTCTTGGGACTCAATAGTGCGCAGGGGCGCTTGCAGGAAGAAATTTGGGCTGCCTTGGTGCCTGATGTGTGGGAAGCTGCTGGTGCATTCCAAGAAAGCCGTTCGCAATGTCTAGCCGTTTTGGCTGCAGACTTATGTGTTGCAGCTCTTCGTGCAGCACGGGATCTTCCTTTCGGGATGTGCTACTGTGACCGCAAGGAGGCCTTTGACACCCAGTGGCGCGCATCCATGCAACAGAAGATGGCTTCCTGTGTAGAACCTCGATTCTGGTGTTTGGCTGATGAACTACTGCATACAACCAGTATGAGTGCGGTGTGTCATGGGCGCAGGTCAAGATGGTTCAAAACTGGTACTGGCGTTGTTGAAGGGCGACGGCTCTCTCCTCTTCAGTTTTGCTGGGGGCAGCAACGGTTAGAGTCTGAAGCTATGGCCAGCTTGACAGGTGTAGGTGTCAATCCTCCATTGCATGCTTTGGTGGCATTTCATAAGCACAAAGGCAGCACTCCACTTGGATCCTACGATCTGGATGAAGTTCACATGCTCTTCAACGCGGTGCAAGCCTCCTTGATGACATGGGATGATGCAATGCAAAGGGTTTCTTGTGATTCAGTCCGTCTTGCGCTCATTGATGTTTCAAGCCCGGTACGTCGAAACATTCGATCGTTTGTGGATGACACCCGGGTTCCAGTTTTGTCACATCAGCATGCAGTTGCCGCATTTGCGCTACTTGAAAAAGTTGCCTCTGAAGAGCAATACCTGTACAAACCAGGTAAAAATCATATTGTAGCCTCTCGGTTTGCTTGGCGTGAGCCCATTCAACTCCAAGGTTTCATGGTGCAATATGTTGATTCGACAGTGCAGTTGGGTTACAGCATAGATCACAGCTTTGATGGCTCTTCTCATCTTCATCACATCCTGGCCCGTGGCAATGGCAAGATGATCCAACTTCTGGCTGACATGAAGACCTTGTGTATGCCAATGCAGGCATTGATACATACCTTTCACACTCGGCTCATGCCGGCCATGCTCTATGGGGTTGAGCTCACAGTACACGTGGCTAAGTTTGACAAATTTCTCAACGGGCTGCAGGCCACTTGTTTGCGCCGGTTGTTGGCTTGCTGTGGAGTGCCTCGAATTGTTCTGCTTCATGAGCTTGGCATTCAAGATCGGTGGTCAGCATTGGCATGGATGCGTGCCATTGCACTCAAGAGGAGGGTCCAAGCTGATCCAAGGTATTGGCAGGAGCATGAAAACTTTGTCCTTGCAGAAGATGAGTCCACTACTTGGGCAGCTGCAGTTGCTTCACAAGAACACGCGTGCGGTTTGAGACCTTTGCCTACTGAACTCCAATCAGAATTCCTCACGCCAAAACAACGAAAAGCACGGCTTCACCAACATTATCAACTGGTGATTCAGCCTGCGGTGAGAGCTTTGGAACTGAATGGTTGGTCAGCAACCCCTCGCGTGCAGAATCATTGGAGTGCTTACAATGAGGACCATTGGACAATTGCACAGCTGCTATGTCATGGAATATCCATTAGCGCTGCCCAATGGTGGGCTCAGCTCAAATTGCAAGGTTACTTCACGGTACATGGTGCTTCCGCTCCTGGCCCTATGAGTATCTGCTCCTTTTGTGATTTGGAGGAATTGGAGAACATTGATCATTTATTCTTTCGATGCAGCTTTGTTGAATCCAGCCTGGGAGCATTGTTGTGCAATGCTGATACGCTCACTCGTCGAGCTGTGGGATCCAACTTAGAATGCCTCGAAGATGTGTTGGCTTGGGTATATGCTGTCGAAACTTTGCAGAAGAGCCGTCGATGATGTGGCCGCGTCAAAAAGATTTGCTGTACTTGCAGCCTTGGAGCAATTGTCAATGCTTCTGAAGTTTCATGTTTATTTTTGTTTGCGCGTGTTTTTTTAAATATTTGCCTGTGTTTTCCATTTATAATTTTAACAGGGTCTGAGTTGCGGCGGTGGCGAGCAATGTTTTGTATGGTGCACGGCGTTTGGCAGAATCTTGGTTTGTGCCAATTTCTGCTTCTGCGTGGGTTAGGACCTCCACTGCGAGAGATCTCTGGGCGCCTACTATTGCACCTCCCTTTTAGGCTATTGAAGAGTTGCCATGGATGACGTGTTAACAGTGAACACTTTTTTGACAAGCGAACAGTGTTTCAACGTTGCTGCAGACAGGTAATTCAGGTTTGGTTCTACATTTCGTGTGCTGTCATTACACCCATTCCGGATGAGGCGGTGCCTTAAGCCAGTTTTTGGTTGCATTGAACCACTTCGGTAGCGGGACAATAAGCAAAACCACCTTTTTATCAAGGATGATGCGGTGCCTTCAGCCTGTTTTTGCTTGCCTTGCACCTCTTCGGTAACGGGACAATAAGCAAAACCACCTTTTTCTGTTTTTTTTTTCCCCCTTTTTTTCCTTCTTTTCCCCTCGTTGCTGCGGTCCCGGTCCCTTGGGTGTTTTTGGTCTGTCGTTTTTTTTGGGGGGGGAGGGGGTGTTGCCACATTTCCTGTTTTTTCAATCTGCTTGCACGGAAGGTTCGTCTGCATAATACTCCATTTGTTGAACAAACATACCAAGCCGGCCCAAGACTTCAGTTTATCCCTGTCAGTGACAATCATAGAATTCTGTGGTTGAGCAATTGGTTATGGGTTTCCTGAGGCTTGAGGCTGCCGGGGGCTTGTTTATTGGATGGCTGCCTATGGGTTGGGGCGTGTTCCATATCCTGGTGTTGGTGGCTATTCTGGTGAGTGTGTGCTCTTTGTCCGGTTAGGGG